AGTAATGTGGATCTTTCTCCAAAATCAATCAAGTTACTCCAAAATGATTAGAACTTCAATAAAGGGATTTAGGCAATACAGAATCAGATAAAAATGACCACAGACAGTCGTGGAATGCAGTCTAAAGCTGGAGGAGAGAGAGCAAAGAGATCATGAAGCTTGGAATATTTGATATTCAGGAAAAGGATGAAAGCAGACCCTCCCTAGAAAGTCACAGAGTATATCTAGTAGTTAGCAGACTGTTGCATTAGTCTGGCAAGATTTCTGTCAATAGGTGAACACAGTAAAGTAACTACTCAAAAGTAAGTATACATGTCATTTTTGGTTCCTTAGGCCTTACATAAATCTTGTCAGATTACAGCAGCACATTTGCTGTCTTTTTGTTTTCTGGGAAAGCCCTCTCCCTTCTGCAATTTGGGAATACATTCCACACACACATACACAGCAAAGGGAGAATGGAGAATAAAAAGTAGATTGTGATGGACAAACGTTGTTTTTACACAAGGAGTGACTATATAGCCTTTCACTATATTTATAACTATCTGTATCTGACGGAAGGTGCAAGTACAGTGTTTTCCCGAAAATAAGACAGGGTGTTATTTTCTTTTGACCCCTGAAATAAGCGCTTGGCTTATTTTCAGGGAAGTCTTATTATTTTTAAGGTGCAGGAGGCAGCGAGTGCGGTCACCTCATGGCTGCTGCTGTGTTGCAATATTTTTGGGGAGAGCTTATTTTCAGGGGAGAGCCCGTTTTAGCGCATGTGCTCAAAAACCCGATTGGGCTTATTATCCAGGGAGGTCTTATTTTCAGGAAAACAGGGTAGAAATGTTCAGAATCTGGTTTACGATCAGCGCTAAAATCTGCTTTCCCCTGCTTTTACTGAAGATGCTGCCTGTCTGCAATTAAAAAGGGAATCTTTGAGTTACAAGTAGCTGGAAGAGAATGACAACAGTGCTGTTTTCTGTACTCCTGGCTCATAAAGTAAAGAAAACCTTTCAATCAACCTGGGTTTCCCCATGAAGCAAAGTGAGTAAAAAAAACAACCCACCACCTCTCTGCCTAAAAGCGGGTAAGGGGAGGAATGCCTGGAAGAGTTTACAAGCAGGGAGATGTTAGATGGACTGATGAACTCAAAGCCATAATGATCAGATGTGGTCTTCATTTCTCTGCAGCTAAAGAGTGAAAAAGCTCCAACCCATTACTCCATGCACAAGCAGCTTGAATGCTAGAATCTTGGTTGTGTGCCAATTATTTTAAGAAACTGAGTTTTGCATCATATACTTCTTATGTGCTTATGAATTGACAAAAGGCACCCTTATTTTTGTGTGATATTTTAATGAGTACAAAAAATGCTGTTGCTACACCTCTCAATAATGTGTTTCACACCCACTCTCTACATTAATATTTGCAAAAATACTGCTCATTTCTTCTAAAATTACTTAAAACTACTGTTTAGTAATAATAATAGCACTTGCATTTCACCTACTCTTCCAAAATTTTGGAGATTATTTTTTAAAGCCCATCTCTAAAATATATGTCACATTCATATAAATTGCTTCTAAAGTGATGGGAAAAGAAGAATCCCTTTTAACTCTCTGCCAGGTTCTTGGGAACAATCCTTCCCTTCCATCAATTCTGGATAAATTTGTGGAAACTTTATTCTCTCAGGAGGGGCTAACAATTACCCAGTCACATTTACTAAAAAATAAACAGTTTAAAAGTTTCTCCTAAAAAAGACCTTTACACTTAAATGGCCCACCATATCTACAAATATCAATGTATGCATTCTTAATGTATTGTAATGTGTCATAAAAACTATTCTGACTTTTTTGGTCTGAAAACTGGCAAGCTTCATTCACTCAGAAAACATACCACATTCGTAAATGTTATCCATATCACTTAAATACTTAAACAAAACATTTTAACTGAGGGTGGAGATTGGTTCTTCGAGTTTGTGGCTTGGTTTCTGAATATTTCTTTACCAGACTAGGTAACATCTTTAGCGGAATTTAGGGGATGTCAGTGTTGATGTTCTTCTGCTTATAAGAGCTTCATGTGATCAGTAAGTCTTGGATGGGGAGGTCGCGTCAAGTGAGAGTCTTATGATGGATCTTAATGTGACTATCACGTGCCATTACCCACACCTGACCCATCATAAAGCCCATCACAAGATCCTCACCTGAAATGACCTCCCCATGATCTGACATGACCTACTGATCACACAAAGCCCTTATAAGCAGAACATTGACACTGACATCCTCTAAATTCTGCTGAAGATGTTATGTAGCCTGGTAATGAATGTTCGGGCACCAACCCACAAGCTCAGAGAACAAACCTTCACCCTCATCTTACACCCAAGCTACAGATATTTGCCACTATCAAAACATTATAACTGTTGGCTCATATTCCAGAAAGTTAGTACCCTATACTAACTTTTGGATTTTACAAAGATTTCACTTTAAATTTCAGGTGAAAATGTTACATCCAAAGATATCTGAATTCATTTTTTTCTTCTAGCTGTGTTTCAAGCTGGATTTATTGCAAATTAATTAAAAGATGTGAGATAGTCTCTCTTGTAAAACTGATATAGTAGCAATAGCTTTCATATAGAGAATTATCATACACATGGACATACGGTGGACTGTAAATTATGAGAAACAATTCCTTTAAAACAGTAATATGTTGGGAACAAGGGAAGGTATTTGTTCAGTTGGCTCTTGTTGGCAACAGAGAGCTGGGCTAGGTGACCTCTCTGCCTGGTTTAACTACCGTATTTTTTCAGAATATAAGACACACTCCCCCCCCAAAAAAGAGGATGAAAATCAGGGTGTGCCTTATACACTGAATATAGCATTTTTGGCCTCCTGAAATCCTGCTGCCTTCACAAAAATGGACATGCAGAGGGTTTGGGAGGCCTGCAAAGTGCTCCTGGGGGCAGGGGAGGGCAAAAATGAGCAAAAACAGGGCTGTTTTTTGCTCATTTTTGCCTTCCCCCCAGCCTCGAGGAGCACTCTATGAGCCTCCTAAAGGCTATACATGCCTCCTTATTTTTTGGCAAAAACTGGGTCCGTTTTTGTGAAAAACTAAATGTTTTTTGCTCATTTTTTGGGGGGGGGACAGCCCCCAGGAGCACTCTACAAGCCTTCTAAAGGCTATGCATACCCCCCCTTTTTTTGGCAAAAAACAGACCCTTTTTTGCAAAAAAAAACCCTCTCTGCATGCCCCGTTTTTCACAAAAAAAATGAGGTGTACAAAGTGTTTGGGAGGTCTGCAGAGTGCAAATTTTTTTTTTTAAATTTACCTCTTCAAAATCTTGGTGCATCTTATACTCTGAAAAATACAGTAGGTTCTTTTGGTGTTCTTCACATAAGGATTTGCAGTCTAAATTTTCTATGAAGCAGCAGTACTGCATTAACTTTAACGATTTTGAAATGCAGCACTGCAAAACCAGCAACCACAAGATCACTTTTAAAATATTCTCTCCTTTTAGCCTAAGCACATGGGGTTGCTTTGAAATGCAGCATGACAGCAGTAGAATCACAGAAAACATCTCCAGATGATAGCTTTGTTCTTGGCATATTTAAAATATGCAGCAGACTAATCTGAAGGGGAAAGTTTCTAGGTAATCTAAATAAGTAGCACTCTATTTCTTATGCTAGGGTTTCTTTTAAAACACATTTTAGAACAAACAATTACTTTCAACGAGAATAGAATGAGGAATAGTATAGATTTGATGGTACATAGTCTGCTATGTATACTACAAAGTAATTTGATTCACTGGTGCTAATAAAGTAACCTTCCGATGGAATCCTACTATAGCTTGCAATAGGACCTGGTGGCCAGAGGTCTATGTTGTTCTATGCTATGTTTTTCAAATATCTTTTGATAGTTTGACATCTTCCCTGTAAGGTTCTGACACATTAGTCTTGAATTAATAGCTATATTTAGCCAGGTATTACTTAAGTCCCACTCCAACTTGGTGTTCTCCAGTTGTCTATAGCACATGTAGATAACCTGAGCTCAAAATCATGCCAATATGGCAATCTGGGCTACGAAGTATTTTACATGACATGGTAAACCGACTGCTTTCAGACAGCAAATCCTAGATTGTTAGGAATTCTACATTATGTGATCATGTACATACAGTATGAAGGGCATAGTTATGGAAAGAGTTCTTAATGGAACTTGTAAAAAATGCAAGACCACAGTTACTGCTTCTGTCTTAAACTACTCTAACTGTTAATAGAGACATGGCTCAGTGACTAAAATGCTGAGCTTGTGGATCAGAAAGGTCGCCAGGCGGTTCAAATCCCTAGCACTGGGTAACAGAGTGAGCTCCCATTATTTGTCCCAGCTTCTGCCAACATAGCAGTTTGAAAGCACATAAAAATGGTGGGAAGGTAACAGTGTCAATTACAGTTTAGTCATGCCGGCCACAGGACCATAGAGACATCTTCGGACAGCACTGGCTTTTTGGCTTTGAAACAGAGATGAGCACCGCTTCCTAGAGTTGGGAACGACTAGCACATATGTGCGAGGGGAACCTTTACCTTTACTGTCTAAAACAATAACTCAAAATAATGCCATCAGTTATATCAGGGACACATTTCAAAATATAAGTTGATTATTTACATATTTATTTTGACAGCACGATTATTAACAAATTATTTTAACCTTACTTTTGAATTTCAGGTCTGAACAATTTGATTATTAATGAATTGTTTTAATTTTACTTTTGAATTTCAGGTCTGAACAATTTGATTATTAATGAATTGTTTTAATTTTACTTTTGAATTTCAGGTCTGAACTGAATTTATTACATTCTTTATTACATTCTTCCTCTCATATGTTCTTTGGTGTAGTATATCCTTAAAAAAATCCTGAACAGTATGCTGATATGTTTCTTCAAGGCATCTAGCAAGCTTTATATTTAAATGGAATTTGCATCCAAGTTCTCCATGGTGAATCCTATTTATTGTATTTAAAAGAAATACTCCCACCTGTAATGAGGCCATGATGGCTCATTGATCTCCCACACTTCCCATCCAAAATGTGTTGTGAAGAAGGATGAAGCTGCTGCATAGTTAAGCATTCACTTAATATTTCTTGTTCAGCATCAGAATAGAAATGTATCTATAAGAGGATATAAAACAAAGAGATTAAATTTCAAAGAGTAGAACTCAAATACAGCTAATTTAATGCATATGGCTTTTTGCCCCTAGCCTATACATATATGCAAGAAACAAAACATCATTGTTTCCCTTAGTTCAGAGATATATTACGCACTTGGTGCTTCTAGTTTGGGTTTTCTTGCATATGCAAATTTATCATGCTAATCTATCAACATCAAGTTGATTCTTAGAAAATTACTATGCATTTTATAATTTTACGGAGTAATTGAGCTGCACGGTATTTGTCTCTCAAATTTTAAGTTCTGTTTCTCAAAGAAATGCATCAATTAGTAACTGTCCTGGTCAGAATTTCCTAGATAAGGAAAAATGTTGGTACTTATCAGATTAAAATGACCAAATTGGTAGGCTGTTGCCCATGTGCAAAAGGTACTGCTGATCTGCCAGCTGTTTTCCATGTAAATTAATGCACTGGCAAAAGTGTCTGAAGCATGCGCTCTTCACAAACCACAATGTCGATCATATTAGAAACAGCAGGAGAGAAGAATTAAGAAAGAAAAGCATTTCTAATTCTTTTTCAAACATACTGATGCTGCCAAGTTTTTGTCGTAACACAAAGCTCAAATTACCGCCAAATATCTATGCCCTGTTATGGCTGCTAATAAATGGTTATTGTTTTGAAGTTTATAGAATTCAATTCTGCCCTTCTCTTGGCTTGGTTATTCTAAATTAAAAGATCTAGGCCAAGCAGTTTAGCCTTCAGTCTTACAGTCAATTTATATAAACATTCAATATTCTAGAACAAAACCAGCTAATCAAGGTTTATGCTATTACTACTACTGCTGTAAATATTGCATAACTGCTTAGTTTTCATCTAAGCATAAATTTCATTAGGGCAATGCTGCTTAAATAAAGTAGGAAGTAAAGGGTGAGTGTTGAAGCAGATGTACTGCATGCAATAAAACATTTCAGGTTGAAAACTTGAGGATGGGGGAAGCTTGCTTCAAAACCTTCTAGGTCCTTGGTTCTCAGAAAGCTCAGCTCAGGAAAATATTGGTACTAATCAAGGCATTTGATAGAACTATTCAAGAAAGGAATTAAAATATGAAAACCTCATTTCTTTTGTATCTCATTTCACACATGTACAAAGTGGCAAGAGGCTGCATGGTTGCATCTGTCATTGTGATTTATTTTTTTTATCCACCCACCCCCCCCAATAACTCTGACGTGGGTGTTTCAGATGCTGGATGCTTTATTAGCCTCTTTCAGGAATAGGACATTTTCCTCATAATACTCAGATTGTGGCTTTTTTTCTTTTCAGAAAATTCATTCATTTTCTCTTCCTGATGGATTCTTGAAAATGAAATGTTTGACATTTGAATAGTGACTTTTTTTTTCAACTCACTTTTATTTTTAAAAATCTACTATCGTTTATCATTTCTAAGGATTGTTTTTCCATAACATACTTTTAATTTGCAATGATCAGTATTGCTTTTATTTTCACAGATCACTGCAGTATTTCTTATGAAAGATAACCAGAATACTTAGTTGCTCAAGGTGAATAGGTAAGAAAGTCTTGTTCAACTGAACATCAAAGTAACCAGAAATCCATTGTCATATATAAATGACACTTAAGCAGATTGGAATTTGTTTGATTACTTCAAGTCAGCTTATGACATAGGAATACAAAGTATAAGAAATTTATTGTGAATAAACAAACTAATTGAGATTTGTTTCTTAATCTATTGTAAACGAAGTGTAGTAAATGAACTACTAATTTTATAAATTAAACTATTAAAGCATTTTTGAAAACAGACAACTATGATATTGGTTCAACTTCTTCTGTTTTATGCTTTATCTTATTGTGTTTAAATAAAAGTGCACATTTGATGGAAGAGCAGTTAGTAAGGTCATCGGGTCAATAAAAATACAAAATCCAATAAAAGGAAAAAAAGAAAAGTCCATCACCAAAGAGAGAAATCAACTTCTATACTCATTCACTAATAACATTCATAGTAGATTTCCATGGCAATCACATGATTGTGAGGTTCTTGGCAACTGGTCACTCAAAATACAACTGCGTGGTGTGATAATTTTATTATGATGTTTAAAGTACTGTTTCTGAGGCTGTTATAACTTTGAACAGTTGGTACAAGGACCAATCATAAATCAAGGACTATCTGTAGACAAGATTCAGGATCTGATCCAGAGGTGGGTTCCTCCCGGTATGGTATGCCAGAAAAGGTAGTGAAAATCTGGCATACTGGACCGGTAGTAGTCTGGCCATGCCCACATACTGGCAAAAGAAAGAATATCCTGTCGTACCGTAACTGCGCCGCAGTGTAAGGGAAGTGGGTCTTGGGAGAGACCTTCCCGCCTTCAGACAGCCTGTGTGGGGGGGAGAGGCGTTGGCCTGGTTTGAATGCAGGCTGGTGGTTTAGTGGCCAGTGCCTCCTTTGTTCATTAGGGTGGGCATAGAAAGAAAGGAGGTATGCAATAGCTGAAGGTGAAGATGCTTCCCTTCGCCCTTGGTGGTGGGGGGCGGGGGCTGCTTTATCACATATCTCCTTCCTTCCCTCAGCTGCTATTGCTGGGGTGCCACCAGGACAAGCAAGGGGCCATAGAAAGAAAGGAGGTGCACAATAAAGCAGCCCCTGCTGTCAAGGGTGAAGGGGAGTTCCTTCGTCCTCGGGTATTGCGCACTTCCTTTCTTTCTCCACCTGCCCCAATGAGCGAAGGAGGCACCCCATCCACGTTCAAACCAGGCCCTCTCCTCTCTCCTCACATGGGCTCTCTGAAGGGAGAGGGAAGGTCTCTTCCAATACCGGCTTCTTTCCCTCCCTCCTGTGATGTCAATCCGTAGGGGGAGGGCACGGACCGTTCGGCAGTGGCGGAGAAATGGAGGCTTCTTTGCCAGCCTCCCACCTGGCAAAACAGAATTTTTTGCAAACTGGAAGGGATGTGTGTGTGAGAGAGAGAAAGGGTGGGAGAGATAGAAAGAAAGAGTAAGAGAGAGAGAGAGAGAGAGAGAAAGAGAAAGAGAAAGAGAAAGAAAGAAAGAAAGAAAGAAAGAAAGAAAGAAAGAAAGAAAGAACTTATGAACACAATTGAGCCCAAAATTTTGGTTGCTCAGCAAGAGTGTTGTTAAGTGAGCTTCACATTTTACAAATTGACTACACCCACCCAGTCACATGACCACCAAGCCACGCCCACAGAATGGGCCACTCCCACAGAATAGGTAGTAAAAAAATTAAAACCCACCCCTGATCTGATCAGAGACCAATTTATCAAATGATCTAAATGTAATTAGGGGTACAATGTCCTCATGTCCAATAGTTGCAAGCAAAAGAATGTGTCATTTAAGACAAACACTATGGGTTTAAGAAAATGAATTGGGATCCTATTCCTGTAGCGAAATCACTGAAGGAAAAAAACAATATCCACTCAGTTAAACTTAAAGAAAAATGTTTTTTGGAATTCCTGATCTTTGGAAAGTTGGTCTTACCTTCTTACGCACCTGTTGTTCTTTGGCAGAATGAGCCTTCACATGTTTTCTAAGGGAACTTGGGTCAGTGTAACGTTTAGAGCATCCAGGAATCTGGCAAGCATACGGCTTCTATAAGTACATGGAGAGGAATAAGGGGAAAAATATATAACATGGAAATTACATTTGCTTTGAAAACATCTTCAAGATATGAACTATTATGTTAACAAAATAAAACATTAATATTCATTGATGATGTTCAAACATGCTGTAAAGCATTTAACTGTTGTGTTCAGCTTGAAACTACAAATTACAGGTGAATATATATAAATATATGAATACATGCGTACATATGTATGTACGCTCCCTCCCATATTTTGGCATACCAGGTGCTTTGACATAAAGGTCACTTTTTATTCTCTTTTATTCTCTTCATTCTCAATTTAGCCAAAATGCTTTACATCTTTGGGAATTTAACAAAATGTTAATAAAGGCAACTAGATAAAAGTACAGTAAAAAACCTGAACTATACAATGATTTAATAATGTTTTATATATTTTATTCATATCATTTTTAAGAAGTACCCCTGCTGTCTCCAATACTCAGAAACAATACATACAATTCTGCAGATATTTTATCAAGTTTTCAAGGTCATGCATCCTGAGTTCCTATGAGCAACCCACAGATAGAAAACACCAGTTCTATATGATATAGTATTTCTATATGAACACCATTGTGTTCAATCCTAGTGAATATCACCTGGACAGCTTTGAAAGAATTTATACTGACATAAATCGGTATTTAAGCAGTTATAAAATGTATTTCTCAAAGTCAGATTTTTAAAGGAAACTTGCTTTCTACCTTATATGCATATTTTATCTTTTATTATCTATTACAATGATAATATGATGTTCTATGGTTGCATAGGACTTAATCCTAGCTAATTTAACCAAGGGATTGTAAAACAAATTAGAGGCAGCCCTGATCTGAAATATTTATTCTTTATTCTGTTTACATGGTGGTCCCATCATTGCTCTCTAATGCCTGTTATCCCACAGAATGGAAGGCTGAGCTATCATACCCAATCTTAGGATGATTATAGAACACCATCTTAAAGCATTTTTGCTATAGTTTTAATACCTTTTCACTGGCACCTAGAAAAGTTCTGACAAAATTAAATGATTTTGGATTACAAGGTTAATAGCACTGCCAATATTGAAAAATCAGTCAGCTTGCTGCGTTTTAAAAAAAAAATGTACATGTAATCCAGTTTCAGGATAGCCTGAGACTTAAATCTAACCTAATAATCTGCTATTCAATCAAACCAGTACATTCTAGCAGGTCTTTGTAATTATTTACAGATTCTCTTTCAGAGAAGATAAATGACAGATTGACCTGCATCTGGAATCTGAAATCAATTCCACATGCATTTAATAAGAAATAGGCAGTCCATATAAATCCCTTTTCTTTGTAGACACCTCCAAAGGAATAAGTAGTCCTGCTTCTTGTGCTAGCAGGAAATTTCCGAAGGAATAATAAGATCATTCACCAGCTTGAGACTCCAAAGGCTAACCTGATATGTACCCAAAAACATGTATATGAAAGTCAATTTACTGAACACAGAGACAACTGAAATTTGAGGAAGGATGGTGGAAACCATTAAATAATTCCTTAGTGGAATTAACCAGGTAGAGTTTTACCCTGCAATGGCAACACATTATTAAGGATAGGAAAACTAGACCAGAAAAATTCCATCCATATTAGTCCAAGCCTTTTCAATCTCACTGTCACACAGTATTCAGTTACACAGCTCGCTTATAAAGGAAATTGGCATTTAAACTGTCATGAACAGCCAGTTTTGTGTTACATGCATTTGAAGCACTAACATCAGCATGCAAGATGCATTCTAATTTACTATATATTCAGTAACCGAAAACAAAAACTGCTAATGTGATACAAAGCTAAAATTCCTGGGAAGATCAACAGGATAAAAATGGATGTTATCTTGTGCAGACTATAAATACCGCAAAAAAAATGTAAGAATAGGTTCAGTAAGAATAAATAAGTTATTAATAAAAGGTTAGTTAAAATTATTACTGTACCTTTTTGCTGATTAGAAGTATTTCAAATAGGAAGGAAGAATATGGAATAAACAAACAAAGGAAGAAATAGGAAGAAAGGAGGAAAAACAGAATAGAAAAGTTAAAGAGGCTCTTTGCAATAAGACCATCCAAAAATATACAAGGAAAGAGAGGGACTTGCTTCTGTGTACATCACAGAGTCTACAAACTGCTTTGAAGGATACAACTGCCTTCTCCCTCCCTCCCTTCCACTTGTATTAATGTCAAGACATTAAACTTCAAAAAGGTGCATCCTATATGACATATTAAGTTTCAAAAGAGCCACATTTTAGAAGTAAATTACAAATTCAAATCCCTAAAGCTGATTTTCAAATAAATAAAACATTGTTATTGTAAGCGTGCTTGGGTTGGAAAATGTGACTGAATGGCTTGTTTGTTTTTGGAAGGCATAATGTACATTACACATTCCTTAATGCTGCACTGTCTGAAATGTGTAGCTAGTTTGAAAGTAAATATCAATTAACCTCTAGGTTTCTGCCATATAAACACCCAGCCAAACATTAAACCACATATTCACCTCTTTCAAAAAGACAAAGGGAGGACTTATGAGCTGTGGAGCAGTAGCTAAGATGATGGGTGATTGACCAAAGTAGAGGCTAACATGACCTGGGCAGCAGAGTAACATTGCCATTTTCCCTACTCCAATCACTTCAAGTATCTTAGAAAGTTAATAGAACAATCTGTTGTAATTGCCTCCATGTACAAACCCCTTTATATCTCCTGTTGATCTCTTTTTCTTGCAAGTGTTTTGGATTATTTGTATTAATAATGTTTCATTATTATGAGGTATAAGAAAAAAAAGGATGGAGTAATGCATTCTAATATTCCAAAGAGTTAAGTGGATACACGTGCTAATGTCGGAGGGGCAGGGGGTGGAGAGACTTATAATGTTGTAAACCATGAAAAGAATTTAAACAAAAAGGACTATTGGTTGAGGGTTCACCAACAAATGCGCGCTCGACAAAAGCGTGCCGATGAAACCGCGGCGAGAAAACCATGAGGTCGAAATCACGCCGACGAATGAGCGCAGAAGCTCGCTGACAACAGCGTGCCGACAAAAGCACGCCTTCAACAAACAACTACTAACAACCTAATAACCCTAACCCTAAAGCTAACCCTGAACCTAACCCTAACCCTAATCTTTACCTTAACTTAAATCACGCTTTTGTGGACGCGGTTTTGTTGGCGCGTTGTTGTGGGCGCGTTTATGATGTCGCGGTTTTCTCGCCGCGGTTTCATCGGCACGCTTTTGTCGTGCGCGCATTTGTCGGGTTACGTTGGTTGAGAATGCCTATTTTAATTTTGAAAAGTGCTTTTAGATGAACCTGGGAAATGTCCTAAAAGTACAAATTTGTTTCTGCACATTATTCACTAATAAGGCAGAAACAAAGTCAGGAAGAGATAAGGAACTAATTTATTCACTCATTCATTCAGGTGACACCTTTATAGAAATGTAGGTTATATGAGCAAATGGTGGGTGGACCATAGAAAAGAATTAAATGTATTTAGAGGCCAATTTTCTTCATCTGGTGACCTACAGATGTGTTTGGCTATCAATTCTGAACTGTTATCCAAAATCTATAAAAGACAGCCGATGAGGGATCAAGCATGCATGCTTTCACTTTTAATCTTGGGCAACAAAATGCATTTTAGTTTGAAACATGGCCTGATATTTCAAATAATTCATGGAAAAATTTCAATTTTTAAAAAAACAACACACAGCCAAGATTTTAAGTCGACAAAGAAACATTTTCAAAGATATGTAAAATATTAATATAGATGAAGACAAATCAATTGCATGGCAAAATAGTAGAAAAGCAAACTTGGTGATTCTCTGTAGTTGATATATTATAACCTTCCTTAACCAAATGCTCTCCTGATGTTTCGGGGGGGGGGGGGATTCCAGGATTCCCTACCACTATTATCAATAATGCTGGAAGTTGTAGTGGAAAGAATAAGAAATCAACTATATCTATACATAATATCTGGCTATAATACTTTGTTTTCTGCTAGTACTATTCTAAAATATTAGGTAAGATTTCTTCACCCCAATATTTTATATACTTTGGCCGACTCTTTTATCTGATGAATGGTAATGTTTTTAGTATGTTATATTTTGAAATGATTAAAATTTAAAAGTCTAACATTATGTTAAACTATCTAGAACAGAGGTGTCAAACTCATGGCCCATGGGCCAGATGTGTCATGCGCTGGCCATGCCCACCCATTTTAGGGGAGAAAGGGGGGAAAGTTGTGATATGTCACATGACAACAGCATATTGTTGTGAGTTTGACACCCCGATCTAGAATCATACGTTAATGAAGAGCAATATACATAAACCCAATAACATGGAAAACCGTGAGCCGTGGTGTTACAGTGGTTAGAGTACACTACTGCATGCTAACTTTGCCCAAATTCAGGAGTTTGTTACTGACCAGCTTAAGGTTGACTCAGCTCTCCATCCTTCTGAGGTCGGTAAAATGAGGACCAGATTGTTGGGGGCATTATGCGGACTCAGTAAACCACTTAGAGAGTGCATTATGAAGCGATATATGTCTAAATGCTATTGCTATCTCTGGATTGTTACTAATACTTGCTCTATTTTCTATTTCAAAAGAGCGTTGGTCCTTACCTAAACGTTTCTTTTCAGTAGACTAGAGGGATGGCCTACACGTAGGATATTCTGAAAGCCTGATTGGTCCAAAGACTGAGGGAAAATTCTTTTAACCTCCTCCTTTCCCCGTTGGCTCCCAATTCCTCGAAGACAAATGACCAAAGCCAAGCTGCATAAAACAGACAAAGAGACAGAAGGAAAACCACCCGACCACCCTGCACCCCGCTAACTAGCAACTAACTAATTGGGGTGGGAAATAGCCCCTCCCTCTCATCTACTGAAAAGAAACATTCAGGTAAGAACCAACATTCTTTTTCCAGGAGACTCGAGAGCGGGGCTACACATTGGACATGCCCAAGCTCAGTCCCAAGGAGGG